TCATGACAGGACCAAGCACCATGTTTGTCTTCCTCCCAGGGGATAGAAGAGCCTTTATCTGTACAAAGTACAAGCTGGTCTCCATATTGGAAGAGAAGGTTAAAGGACTAGAGACCCAAGTATCGACCCTATGTTCCATCAGAGAAGATGAAGACTTCCTGAATAGAAGGCAGCATTTAATACTGCAGGCACAGGATACTGAAGAACCAGAGAGAGCAGTACAGGATGGGAAAGAAAATTGACAGCATGTGACCTTCAGGAGAAGAAAGACAACTCGGGTACCCCCAATCCCAGTAGAGGTAAGTAACTGTTTCCAGGCTCTCTGCACAGGTACTATGGTGGAAAACACTTTGGCAAAGTCCTCTGAGGGAAGGGATCAGAAGGGTACCCATATCAACCAGAAGGCATGGGACACATAGCCCTAAGGATGGATATTCCACCACCACTACTCCCAAGGGAAGGAAATGGGTGGTGATAGTCAGGGGTCCCTTCCTAATGAGGACAGTCATCCATCCCCATCCAGACCGGGAAACTCGAGAAGTGTGCTGCTTGCCTGAAGCTAGAATTCAGAATCAGTCTTCTGAAACTGATCAAGCCCTCAGACCGCTACCCCTTCATACTTCTCTATGTAGGAACCAATGATACTGCCAAGAATGACTTTAGCAGGTCCCTGCAGATTATGTAGTTCTGGGAAGAAGGAGCAAGAAGTTTCAGACACGGGTTGTGTTCTCGTCCATCCTCCCTTTTGAAGGAAAAGACTCAGGTAGGGATCATTGAATTTTGGAAGTAAATACGTGGTTGCATAGGTGATGTCAGAGAGGGCTTTGGTTTTTTTGACCATGGGTTGCTGTTCTGGGCACAAAGATTGCTAGGAAGAGATGGGATCCACCTAATGAAGAGAGGGAAGAGCATCTTCACACGCAGGCTTGCAAACCTAATGAGGACGGCTTTAAACAAGGTTTGTCAGGGAACAGTGACCTAAGCTCTGAGATAAGTGGGGAAGTGGGGTACTAGGAAGAAACACAAGGGGGAAGGTGCAACAGAAAATGTCTGATTCATACTGAGAAGGTAGGGCAATCAACTAGTTATCTGAGGTATCTGTACACGGACTCAAGAAGCCTAGGAAACAAGCATTGTCATGGAAGGGTATAAACTGTTCCAGAAGGAAAGGTTGGGGAGAAAAGGTGGAGCAATAGGATTGCTCAGAGCTCCAGTATAAAATGAGAAAAAAAAGTCTGCTGAGAGTCTTTGGGTTAAGTTTAGAGGTGGGAGTAACAGAAGTGATATTGTGATGGGTGTCTGCTATAGACCAAATCAGGTGGATGAGGCATACGAGGGTTTCTTCAGACAACTAACACAAGCTCCCAGATCACAGGCCCTGGTTTTCATGGGGGACATTAATCACCCTGACATCTGCTGGGAGACCAATACAGCAGCACACAGACA